AGTAAATGTACTTAGTTATTTTCCAAAACTACTGTGTTGTTGGTGTGGACTGTAATATAAAAAGGTGTTTCTGTGAAAAATGACCTGGGAGAACTGGGAGATCCTTTGTCAGGAGCCTTACATATATAAGCTTTAGCTGTACTTTAGTATTTTGTCAGCATTGTACAGTAGCTGAATAAACCTTTGTGAAGTTAGGCCTACATTGCACTACCTGCAGTAATTTTTACAGTGCCTTGCGAAAGTATTCGGCCCCCTTGAACTTTGCGACCTTTTGCCACATTTCAGGCTTCAAACATAAAGATATAAAACTGTAATTTTTTGTGAAGAATCAACAACAAGTGGGACACAATCATGAAGTGGAACGAAATTTATTGGATATTTCAAACTTTTTTAACAAATAAAAAACTGAATAATTGGGCGTGCAAAATTATTCAGCCCCTTTACTTTCAGTGCAGCAAACTCTCTCCAGAAGTTCAGTGAGGATCTCTGAATGATCCAATGTTGACCTAAATGACTAATGATGATAAATAGAATCCACCTGTGTGTAATCAAGTCTCCGTATAAATGCACCTGCACTGTGATAGTCTCAGAGGTCTGTTTAAAGCGCAGAGAGCATCATGAAGAACAAGGAACACACCAGGCAGGTCCGAGATACTGTTGTGGAGAAGTTTAAAGCCGGATTTGGATACAAAAAGATTTCCCAAGCTTTAAACATCTCAAGGAGCACTGTGCAAGTGATAATATTGAAATGGAAGGAGTATCAGACCACTGCAAATCTACCAAGACCTGGCCGTCCCTCTAAACTTTCAGCTCATACAAGGAGAAGACTGATCAGAGATGCAGCCAAGAGGCCCATGATCACTCTGGATGAACTGCAGAGATCTACAGCTGAGGTGGGAGACTCTGTCCATAGGACAACAATCAGTCGTATACTGCACAAATCTGGCCTTTATGGAAGAGTGGCAAGAAGAAAGCCATTTCTTAAAGATATCCATAAAAAGTGTTGTTTAAAGTTTGCCACAAGCCACCTGGGAGACACACCAAACATGTGGAAGAAGGTGCTCTGGTCAGATGAAACCAAAATCGAACTTTTTGGCAACAATGCAAAACGTTATGTTTGGCGTAAAAGCAACACAGCTCATCACCCTGAACACACCATCCCCATTGTCAAACATGGTGGTGGCAGCATCCTGGTTTGGGCCTGCTTTTCTTCAGCAGGGACAGGGAAGATGGTTAAAATTGATGGGAAGATGGATGGAGCCAAATACAGGACCATTCTGGAAGGAAACCTGATGGAGTCTGCAAAAGACCTGAGACTGGGATGGAGATTTGTCTTCCAACAAGACAATGATCCAAAACATAAAGCAAAATCTACAATGGAATGGTTCACAAATAAACATATCCAGGTGTTAGAATGGCCAAGTCAAAGTCCAGACCTGAATCCACTCGAGAATCTGTGGAAAGAACTGAAAACTGCTGTTCACAAATGCTCTCCATCCAACCTCACTGAGCTCGAGCTGTTTTGCAAGGAGGCATGGGCAAAAATTTCAGTCTCTCGATGTGCAAAACTGATAGAGACATACCCCAAGTGACTTACAGCTGTAATCGCAGCAAAAGGTGGCGCTACCAAGTATTAACTTAAGGGGGCTGAATAATTTTGCACGCCCAATTTTTCAGTTTTTTATTTGTTAAAAAAGTTTGAAATATCCAATAAATTTCGTTCTACTTCATGATTGTGTCCCACTTGTTGTTGATTCTTCGCAAAAAATTACAGTTTTATATCTTTATGTTTGAAGCCTGAAATGTGGCAAAAGGTCGCAAAGTTCAAGGGGGCCGAATACTTTCGCAAGGCACTGTATAGCCCCCGACAACATAGCTCCTAGGATCACTCGGGTACTCAAACCCCTCCACCACAATAAGGTGGCGGTTCAAGGAGGGGCCACCCAGTTTCACATAGACATTAATGGGCTGCGGACTGTGACTCCACCTTAACACCCTGAGCCCTTTACTTTGACAGAGTTGTATTATGTGTTGTTTGTAACCTCAGTGTTGCTAGCTTAGTGAGTTTCTGTCTATCCCTTTACCATGTGTGTCCAAGTTGGACTCTACAGCCAGTTTTGTTTGCCTTGTTTTACTTAAATAATTTGTTAGACCCAACTTTTTCATCCAAACAGTGAGTTCCAAAATGAAATTTTGACCATCAGTGCGGTTTAATAGTATTGTTTACCTGCTGCTGTTGTGCTCCCTGTATCGTCATGTTGACAGTACATGCTGTACAGTGACAGTACCATGGCTATGTACTCAATGGAAACAGAGACGCCGACTGTCGAAGACATCCAGCTGCTGAAAAAGACTGTGGAGAGTGAGGCCTCTCAGGTACCGTTGGAGTGAGTCTGACTGCTGTTACACATGGTGTTGGTTTCAGTCTGAGGTCACCCATACTGTGTCTCCATCTGTTTTCAGGGTCTGAAGGATCTGAAGAAGGACAAAGTCCTAATGAGGAGGAAGTCGGAGCTGCCACAGGACGTCTACACCATCAAAGCTCTGGAGGCTCACAAGAGGGCTGAGGAGTACCTGACAGCCAATCAGGAAGCTCTCTGACCAGGGGAGGTGGTCCCTTCTGAGCCTGACTCCATCCCCTTCCTGTTCGTCTCTCTGGGGAGAAAGCTGTTGAGGAGAAACTGGTCTGGGGTCAGATGAGGCGGAAGCTGACGTGTTCAAAGAAGAAGAAACCCTGGCGTAGAACTGTAGAAGCTCCGTCTGTTAAAGTGTGAGCACCTCTATCTGCGCTTCACACACTGCTGCTGTTTGTCTCGACGTTACCACCACATCAATGCTGCCAGGTCCCTAAACATATCACCACCAGGCCTTTTCCACTACAGGAACTTCACCGCCGGTAGCCTGAGGGGGCCCAGTGTCTCTGGTTCTGCCTCTGCTTCCACTGGCTTTGTGAGTCAGTTTCAGCCTCCGTCCTCAATGAAACCAGAGTCCACAGTGTGTAAAAGGTAAAGTGTGGCTTCACTGCTCGGTGACGGTCAGAGCTGTGTGAAAGGAAACGTCCCCTGTGATCCGTCCCTTTAAATGTGGACATATGTGAACATGCTGCGTCGGCCGGAGTGATGTTGATTTGATGATAAAATACAGATGTTCTCAGCAGCAGTTTTTTGGGAATGACTCATTTTTATTATCGATTAATGTGATGTTTACCACAAGACCGAGCAAAAGCAGCATGTGTTCGAAACTATGGTGATGAATCGACATTTCAAACTGTTTTTAATCTGACCGATTGATTCGGCTCCAGCTGCTGGTCGACATGTTTGTCAGGTTAATCTCTGTCGACCACCTGCTGTCAATGTGGATTTGTAACATTCAGGTCAAAGGTCTGCACACACTGTGACATCTGGGGTAGTGTTTGTCACACTTCTTGTACCCCAGTGGAACTGCAGAGCAGAACCTAGATCCAGAACCTCACACGTCCCTAAAGGTCAAAGGTCATGAAGTTCCTGTGGTGGAAGAGAGCTCCAATGCTTCACCTCTGTCCCACAGCACCTGAATGCAGCACTCCAGAGGCCCTGCCCCGACCAATCCTCTGTCAACCTGGATCTGTGGTGGACTCAATGAAGCAGCGTTAGACGACTGATGATGATGATTATGACGAGGAGACGTAGTGAATGTAGACGTCCAGTCGGCATCCAGGAGGAGCCCCGACAGAAGAAAGTTTGAACATGCTTTATTTTGGTTCTGTGTTTGGGTCATTTCATTTTGGTTTTTGTCGGCCGCTCACAGCACCATGATGTCATCGAGTTTAAACCAATGAGAGACGTTGTTTTCATGAGCGTTTGGTGTTTTGTCTTTGTCCGCTGAAAAAGCCTGTGTTTGTGTGTGAACATCTCGCTTCAACCAAACTTCAGAGATGTAACTGTCACTCATCAGGTCAAAGGTCAATCTCATACTGTAAAAGGTGGAGAAGGAGAAGAAGCTGCTTCCTCACAATCAGTGTTTGTGGAAACATTTTTGGAACTGGTGAGGTGACCATTTTGACATGTTTAAGACCCGACCCCCCTGTTTTTTACAGCTCACCGTTTCCACTGTGCAACCTTCTCTAGCGGCGATGCCAGGCTCGTGCTCAGCTTGCAGTCTGTCGTCGTGTGCCAGGCAGACTTGCGCTCCCTGTCGGTGACGACGTGACGCCACATTTCTCCTGTTTACCTTATCATCATGGTGCCAGATAAAATCTTTTGCTTTGTAAAATCCTGCAAGTATTTAAACCTTTGCAAAATATCAGGTTTCTGCAGGAGGCAAAAGTCTTCAAGTCTGAATTCACCTCGTTGAAAAGAAGAATGTTTGATAAAGGTTTAAAGTCCTGAACATTGTTCTTTCTCGCAGTAGACAGTGACAGCAGTTTACACCAGTGGTATTGGCAGTGAAAAGCTTAAATTTAATGTGGCAAGCACTGCAGAAACTCAGAAAAAGTACAAAATCAACACTTTTGTGGCTTTTTTTTCTGCTAATTCAACAAACTGCAGCATCAAGACCTGTAAAAGTTTGGCCCCAACTGGACTTTGAATCCACTGGCTTCACACTAAGGACATTATTCTGTGGTTTTTAATCAAGTGTTTCATGTACTTTTGTTTTTATCCATTTCTGTTTTCAGGTAGAAACTCTGTTCAACCTCTAAGGCCGTCATGAAAGGCGGGACTTCTCTCACTTTGTGTCCGACTCGGTCCCAGCACTTTTTGGGTGTTTGCAGGTTTTCACAGTGGTGTGTGGTTTGGGTGAACTATCCCTTTTTCTGCTTAGTGTACTCTTGGGTTGGTGCCCCTCAGCTGTTTGTCTGTGGTTGGTTTTTCTTCTTGATGAACCATAGCCAGACCAGTGCCGCTCAGATCAGTTGTGACTCAGCTCCATGTTAGTTTCTATATTTGGTCCATGTTTTACAAGTATCTGACGCCTGTCAGGACAAAAACACAGCAACACAAGAGTGTTGCCACCTTTGTTTCCAGACATTTAAACCTAACGCAGAGGGAGTCGCCCCTCTCAACATATTTTAAGACAAACAAGAAACTGTAATCATCCAATGTTGTGAGCTTCTGAAACGGACTTTCTTTATAATGACAATCACTGTGAGCTCAGTCATGAGGATTGAACAAATCTATGCTTCTGATTGAGTTACGCTCCACCCGTCTGTTTCCGATACATCTGCTAGAGCTCAAAGTGTAACCGAACTGATTCTGAACCAAACCCCAAGATAATTTATCCAAGTTTAACTATTTCAGTATTCCTTGTCTGATGATGTGACAGGACCTAAAAACCCCAAATCTCATCAGATGGGACGCTGGAACAAATCTGAGCTTCAACTTGCCAGAAGTTGAGCAGAAAAAAGACCAGCACATAAACATGTTTTAGGAGGTTCAGTACCAGGTTTCACAGAGCTAAGGAAACTTTAATAATCACTAGTTTTTTGATGAAGTGAACATAAAATCTGATGTTTTCACGTTAGAGTAAAGCACCTGAAGTCAAATCACCTCTGGTCCCCTCCCTGCAGACTCCGGTTCCCACAATCCTCTGCTATGTCGGTTCTGTTTACAAAACATCTGCACTGTAGTTCAGTTACAGGTGTCAATTTGTGCCATGAGAACTTTGTTACTGACAATTATTTTTATGTAGTTAACAGACAAAAATGATTCATTTGTTGCATTTTATGGAAAAAGTGAATATTTCCAAATTCAGTGTCGTTACACAGCAGCAGACTAAATAGTGTTCCAACTCTAGTAACTCGTTATTTGCTTTCATCTGAGCATTGACCAGTTCATCAACCTTTTAAATAACAAAGCTTCTCTCTAAGGGAAGTGCTGCTCAACTAAACTTTACTGTTCTTGCAGTGCAGACGTGCGTGGAAACAATCGCCTTTACTTTTACAGACGACAGAACAAAACGTGAAAAACGTGGCACTTTATTCCTCAGAGTGCGAAGAGCTGGGCGGTTCTGCCTGCAGTTATTGGTGTACATGACTTGTGGCCACACCCCCTCCCGTTTACAGTTACACCCTCTTTTTTCTGTCATAGCTCGCTGTGCTGTTTCTGGACATCGTGGGCGTACCCTGTCAACAATCTGTAACCATTCCTCGCTCGCTGCTGGACAAAATGGCCACCAAGCCTCGACAGTTAAACGTTTATTTGAACTGGAATGAGTTGCTGTCTCCATACTGCCAGTTAAAGCCAAATCAGGTTTTAATCTGTGAGCAAGCTGTTGTAGTTAAGAACTGTTTAATGAAATGATGTTTCTTAAGCGCACGTAGCTGCTGTGCTCATGTATTCATCTGTGTACTTTCATCTGTTCAGAATGTCAAATTGCAGGATTTGATAAGTAGCACAAAGTCAAAGAGAGCGATTAGCTGCTCAACCAAACCTAATGAAAAATTCTTATTTTAGCACTGATTTAAAGAGATGTTCCTGATTCACACAGGGTCCAAGTACTCCTCACAAATCATCAGATCTTATCAAATCTAGTCTGCAGATGTTTGGATTAGGGAAGAGTTGTAACTCACCGGTTATTTGTCCAGCAGCGACACAAAGATCAACCATTCAGTTAAACAAAATAATCCGAGCCCTGACACAAATGATCCAGATGCTGCTTCCTGTCATCCTGTACATAAGTTGTACTTTAATTAGGTAGAGCATTACACAATATGAAAGTGATTTTGTACAGATGTCCATGTATGTACAGAACAAATAAAGCGGAAGTCTTGACGATCAGTTTGTTTCACGCCACAGATGTTTCACACCCAGAAGATTAAAAACAAGAACATGTCAGTAAAAGGCTTTCAGGTGGGATGCAACTCCATCCCAAATATACTGAACAAATCCAAACTGGATGTTTAACGGTTTCCTTCACTTCAGCTGAAACAGAGCAACAGTGTCTGTACTTAGAGCTGCAGCCAACACTTGTCAGTTAGTGTGCCGATTGGTCGGAACATGGGGAAGAATAACTTTCTGTTTAAAGGATAAGGCCGTTCATTTTCTATATTAATAGTCTCCATAGACACAAGCTGGCATGTAAACAAAGGTGAGAGCTCACGCATGCGTGTTTGACGCCGACTCATACTAGCTTTAGATTATGACCTTAATGCCTTTGGGACAACATAGTCGGATCGGGGTTTTGTTATTTAAAGTGTTCCCCATTGCAGTGCTGCTTCCCCCTGATGTGTTTGTAATCATTTTTTAGGTCTACGGTGCAGCTGAACAAGCTGATCCAGGACTGACGGACATTAAGCGTGAGTAGTAGTAGTAGTAGTAGTAGTACTAGTAGTAGTAGTAGTAGTCTCTGTATGGGGAGTGTTGGTATAGAAAGTGACCTTCCTTATCGCTTAAGCTTCAGCTTGCTGTCACCAGTGGGAACTTCTTGCAACGTGATGCAAAGAGACCAAAGAATGTTTGACAGCTTCTGACTGATGGTGTAATGTCGCAGCCCTGGTTAGTCATTACTTTTCACAGTCATCTCTAGATCAGTTAATTATCTTGGGATACTCGTTTCATTTTCTCTGATCAGGAAACTTTGGACCAGCTCGGTTCAAGCTGTTTGGCCCAGATTACAATGTTTAGATTTGGCAGCAGTTTATTAAATCCTAAAACTGCTTCAGTGTGTTGTGACACATGAAGATGCAATTCTTTACAAAGACAATTCAGGCAAAGTCAGAGCAGCTTTAACTCCGAAGCATCGACAACTGAGCCAAAAGGTGGCAGGTTCAGACTCGGTCCAGTCGCTTCCCTTTTGTTTAGACGCTGTCACCGCACATTTAACTGAGGTCAGCTGTGGCTTTAGCACAACTTGTTTTTTAAAGCTGATTCAGTTTTTTATATTTGTGCAACTAACTGTTGTAAGGCAAACAAGTTTAACATTTATTTTATTGTACTATTTATTTGAGTGTCATAAGAAGTAGCACGAAACGTTTAATCACCTGCAAGAAGCTGAAGCTGAAACTGACGAGGGCGTGAAGACCTGGACTATGACACACTGAGATGTCATTCTTCATTATCATCTGACTTACAAATTAAGTTACTGTGGACACAATCAGAAGTTTAACAGAAACCAAATCATCAGTTACACAGCTCTAATTAACTGACATAACTGATTAGATAATCGATGTGGAGGTTTATTTCCTCTGAGTGTGTCTATCTGCCAACACGCTGGTCAAATAATTCCATAGTTACTGAGTATTTTAGTGGGCCTTCCAAGTGGGATTACAAAAAACGGCACTAAACGTTCCCAGTCCATAGAAGTTGGAGTGGAATAACTGAGCTTGATTCTGAGCCTGTGCAGGGATTATTGATCCTTAGGGTTATCTCAAACATTCTTTATTTATTTAATGAAGAGTCTAAAACTTGTTCAAATTAAATCTATTTAAATTTAAATGGGGGAATTCAGAGTAATTTTCCTCCCAGGTGACTAAAGCGAGAGCTGAGTGAGGAAATAACAACTGGACGTGAATTAAAACAAAGGACTTTGACCCTTAAAAGTCTGAAGCTGCCTGCCTCCGTTTCAAATCTAATTTTCTGTGATTCACTGCTTCATTACTCTCAGCTATTCTGTACGTTTTCATAAACTCATCTCTTCTTGCCGTTTCCCAACCCTGTGCCAGTGTCCCTGAAGTGTGATCATGGTGCATTCAGGGGTCGCCCCTGTGACTGAGGCGCAGGGCGCTGGCGCTCTGCCGGCTCTGCAGTGTGTGTTGGACCATGTCCTTCCACTGATCATCAGAGATCTCTTGGGCCCACGCCGGCACGCCGAGCGATGGCAACGCCACAGTCGCCATCGTCCTCTTCACCAGCTCTACGTGGTCTGAACGGACAGGAAATGGTGACACTACACTCATTATAATGACACAACCAAAACAGTAGAGACTGTCTGAAAAGGCAAGTAAAAGATTAAAAAGCAGCTCACAAACGCAGAAAGCTTTCAAAATAATATCAACACAAACATGAGAGCTGAAAGCTCAGGAAATAAAGTGGACCTTGAGTTGGCAGTGTGTTGTCTCAAACGGTGATCTTTACAGCACTTCATACAAAACATACTATTATGATGATTATACGTCCATCATCAAAACGAAACAGTGGATCCTGTTTTATACTGAAAATGTTCACCTGTTTTCGCTAACATTTACACGTATTAATACATTTTTCATTTTTTACCTGCGTAAATGTTATAAAATACAGGTGAGGAACATGTTCACTCCTTTATGTTGGAGTGTTTCAGATTATTTGAGTCCAAATTAATCAGATTAATTAAAGAAAACTCAGGCCACTTTACATAGTCAGGTCCAGACCCTACCATGTTAGACACCCCCTTAAACACGCACTTGGCAACAGTGGGGAGGAAAGCCTCCCTTTAACACAAGGAACATGTGAAAACAGGCAAAGGACATTTTCACAGTGTGAAACACACAATTCAGTCTTTTGTTTTGGTGATGGACAAGTTGCACATGGACATGTATTTATAATACTTCATACAAAACTGATATTATTATTATTATTATTAAGATCACTGTGACAAGATATTGCCAACTCCAGGACATCTTACTAGTTGTTCCTGAGCTCTCACCTGCATCGTACACAAGTTTGAGTTAATCTTATTTTGAAAACTTTGTTTTCAGTACAATGGCAGCTCGAGGTGCCTCGCACACAAGAGCTTAGATAAACGCATACAAAGTTAACAAAACAGATAACGGTATTATAAAAACAACAAGTATGGACACATAACCACACACATATACACCCAGTACCAACCCGCATGTACCAAACGGTTAAATAACTGGTTGATGCATCCTGACACAAAGCACTTAACAGGACTATTGTCCTGTACAGGAGATTTCAGGTTATATCCGAGTATTTTGAACAAGTTGTAGCATAGAAGTTGTTTGATTTGGGAGACCCAAAGAACGGGCCTCACTAGAGACGTAGTTATGAATTTATTTTTGTTTTTCTCCAAGGCTCATTTAAATATTAAATATCTTCTCTGGACTTTACATGAAACAATGGAAAAAGATGAACCGAGTCACGTGTTCAACCTCCTGGATTGGCTATAACACTTTCCCAAATAAAGAGAGAAGTGAATACAAAACCTGTTTCTCTCAGGTTCACATGTACTGAAGCGCTACTGCTTCTGTCTCAACTGGTGAA